CAAGAAGGAGCCCTGGTGATGTAGTAAATAACATGTTGGGCTGATAACTACAAGTGGTTAAACTGGAGAATATTTCACCATGATCAATGATAGGTAGACAGAAAGACAGATAATGAAAGCAAGGACTTTGTGATGATCCTTTCTGGCTCTGTTACTTGCATGACCTCAGTTATGTTACTTGACCTCTCTCTAAGTCTTGAATTTCCAGTCTATATAATAAGAATAAGAATAGACCTCAACTTGGATGCTTGCCATGAAGATTAAATAAAATGATACACGAAAGTGCTTGATGCATAACCTAGAACTAATCACAATACAATGCTGATCACTGCTGTAATAAAAATTACTATCACTGGAGTCAATAAGTGGATCAGAGCAAGAAACTTGAGTTGACCTGGGTATTGAGAGAGAAATGAGGATAGAGTTTATGTAAGGGAGTGAGATTTATGATTCTATGTTTTAAAGGAAAGTTCTCATTTGATCTCTGGTTGAAGTAAATAAGAAAGCTGATTATGAGGAGGTAAGGCAGAGAGATGAGATTCTCCAGGCTGGCTTCTAAAATCAGCATTTGAATAAAAGGCATCAGGGGCAGAAGCCCCAGGTGATCCATTCCCAAAAGAAATCACCGGATCCTAAGATTTTCATGCTTTTTTTCAATTGGGATCTTAAAGAAGAAGAGGGGAAGGGGCCTGGGAACTAGATGAAGGCAGAGGTGGAGCAGATGGGGAGTGCGGAAGTGAGAAAACATGGGTGTGGCCTTTCCTGACTATGTGGGCTAACTTAGAAGACAGCTTTTTTTAAAAAAAATTTTTTATTTTATTTATTATTTTTTTTTACAGAGGGCTTGGATTTCCATTCATTCATTGCCGCAATTTTCTCCCTTCCCACCCCTCCCCCCCCAGCTCGCTTCCCCCCTCCAAAGAGAGAAAGAAAAAAAAAAAGGAAAAAAAATTCCTTCATTAGTATACAATTCCCATGTCCCTTCCCCCCACCTCCCACCCCGAGTACACTTCTCTATGCAACCTTAATTCTGGATTCCTATGCTAACCATAATACTCAATCATATTTCACTTCTGATCTGTTCTTTCCCTCATCTGTTTCAATACAATATACATAATTTATCCAGTTTTTTCTGTCATACTCCCACCCTGATGTCAGACCCATTCTACAACAGTGGCACCATGCAGTATTTGTCCCTTTGTGACTGAGATATTTCACTCAGCATAATATCCTCCAGGGTCACCCACTTTGAATAATATTGCATGAGTTCCTTGTTTTTCAATGCTGCATAGTATTCCATTGTGTGGATATACCACAGTTTCTCTATCCATTCGTTTGTTGATGGGCCCCTAGGCTGCTCCATTGACACAGCAATACCCTGTGAAGTGGGAGGCCAGTTTTGAGCCTGTGAGCACCTCTATTCTGTAGTCCTGAAAGTTTAAAGAGGGAGTCTGGGGAGCAATCCTTGTGTTAATCCAAATATTCTTTGGTGGCTTACCTTGTATATCTAAAGTTAAGATACATCCCTGGCTAGGATGGTTCCTCAGAAGAGATACTGTTTGTTATGGATCTTTTATGTTTAATCTTCTGTGTTTATTAACTATAAACCCTTTGCATCAGGTACTACTTAGGTTCTTGATGTTGTTATATGCCATCGAGTTGCTTGCAACTCATAGCAACCCTATGTACAAGAGCCCTAACCCCTGCTCTAACCTGTGCCAACCTTACTGTCTCTGGCACACTTAACCTCATTACCCCAATCACTGAATCAATCTTTTTCATCAAGAGTCTTCCTCTCCTGTTCTGTCCCTCCACACTCCCAAGCATGATATCCTGTAACATGTCCTTGTAACATGTCCCTCCTTGTTACATGTCCTAAGTATGTCAGATGAAGCTTCAGAATTGTAAAGACCATGGCCTGGATCAGGTACACCTTAGTCTTCAGATTGATGTAGTTGTTCTTCAGTACTCTGGAGAGGTCTCTGACAGCAGACTTTGCCAATGCAATTAATTTCTTGATTTCCTGGCTGTTGGTACCAAGGTGTTGATTGTGGAGCCAAGCAAACTAAAGCTATTAATAATCTCAATCTCTTTACTATCCATAATGATACTGCCAATTGGCTCAGTGGTGAGAATCTTTGTTTTCTTGATGTTGAGCTTCAAACCATACCGAAGGCTGGTCCTTGATCTTCTGCAACAAGTGCTTCAGGTCCTCCTCAGTTTCAGCAAGCATGGTTGTATCATCTGCATAATGCAGGTTGTTGATGAATCTTCCTCCAATACTGATGCCACATTCCTCCTCATACAGCCCAGCCTCCAGGATGATCTGTTCTGCATATAGCTTGAAAAGGTATGGAGACAGAATACATCCCTGGCATACACTCTTCCCAATTTTGAACCATGCAGTGTCTCCTTGCTCTGTTCTGATGACTGCGTCCAAGTCCAAGTATTGATTTCATATAAGCACAATCAAGTGTTCTGGGATTCCCATTCTTCTGAGACAGCCACATTATGTTGTGATCCACACAGTCAAACACCTTTGCATAGTCAATGAAACACAGACATGCCTCTGGTACTCTGTGCTTTCAGCCAAGAACCTCTCTAACTTTAGCTTTAATATCCCTAGTACCATGGCCTCTTCTAAACCCAGCCTGCACATCTGGCAATTCTCTGTTGATGTACTTTCTTTTTTGATGGGTGTCTTTTTTTAATAATCTTTAGCAGAATCTTGCTTGCATGGGATTCAATGATATTGTTCGATAATTTCTGTCTTCTGTTGGGTCACCTTTCTTTGGAATGGGAACAAATAAAGATCTCTTTCAGTCTGCTAATTCTCCATTCTCCCACCATCCCCCACCTCCAAGAAAATGCTCGTCAAAAGATTGAGAAATGTAGGGACATGTGTTTTAAGCAAGCACTCAGGGGAGTCTCTTGATAAAGCAAACCTGAGAAACACTGGTTTAAGATAATATCTTAAATATGTTGAGACCCTAAATGCAGCAGGAAGGGCCCTAGATTGACAGGTAAGAGCAGAGTTCCTGCACGTCATGGGCACGGGCTCTATCACTGCTGCGTATTACTTCTCATGTTTGGTCCTGCCTAATAATCCAGAAGGGAAGGATGCTATAAAGCAATCATGAGATCAGAAAAAGTAGGTGACCTGGAGCAAACAGAAGTGATAATAGATATGAGGAAAGTATGAGGCCTGAACCTCACTCTGGGGCTTTTTCTTGCTTGAGAATGGTAGGACAGCAGCCCTCATAGTAGACAAAGGAACACTTGCCCAAAGAATCTTTAAAGATAGCCCAAATCTCACAGCTATTTGTCACTGTTGTTAGGTACCATCAAGTCAACTCCAATTCACAGTGATCCCATGAACTATATAGTTCAAAAGCCTGCCCAGTCCTGCATCATCACTGTAATCTCTGCTGTGCTTTAGGCCTAGTGCTATAGCACGGTATCAGTCCATTTTACTGCGGGTCTTCTGCTCCTGTACTGACCTACTATTTCCAGCATGACATCTTTTCCAAGGACTGGCCCTTCCTGATCACATGCCCAGAGTATGTGAGGTTAAATCTTATCATTGCTTGGCCTTTAAGCATTAGTATTCTGTTGATAGTCCACAATGTATTCAATACTCATCATCAACACCACCACCTTCTCCCTCCCTGTACCCAGGTCATTGTTGCAGTGCTTTAGGCAAGTGGAACAGGACAACACAGGAGATATTTGGGGGGCGGGGAGGGGGGGCTTATGAGAGAAAACCCTTGTCCTTCTTGAGATAACGTTGGGATGTCTGTCTCCTGAATTTCAGAAATATTTCCCATGTGGCCTGGGACCTAACATTGGCCTGGATTTGCAAGGGTAGTTTGAATCTTCCAGCTGCTATGGGGGGAAAAACTAGACTATCTCCTCCCATGTGATTTACAGCCTCTGAAAACCAGCTGATGGGCCAGGTGTGATTCTGTTCAGACCTGGCACAGAACAACAGCAATCACTGCTGAGTGGGAACCCCCTCAATTGGCAATAGATTTCACTTACAGATTTTATTACTGGGCGAGTAATCCAGGGGGTCTAGGGCCATTAAGAGTGGCCAAGGGATGGTGATAAATGCAAGACGTGAGGGAGGTTAGGCTGAAAGGGGCTTCCAAAATGCTCGAGCTTTGGAGGGCAGGATCCGGAGAGGAGGTCTCATTTATCAAGATTTCACAACTGGTCAGTGTCAAAGCAGGGCTAGAACCTTTCCTCCTTCCCAACGTAAAACAATAATAAAAAGGGCAGAATGCAAGTGGAGGTCTGTCTGTGCAGAAGCTTTCTAGAAATTCGCTGTCTCAGGGAAATATCAAAGACCTAACCAAATCCCTAAAAAACTAAGCCCCGATTATTTCATCCACGTGGCACAAGAACAAGCCAAAAAGAGAGAGAAAGAGTCGCGCGTCCCGCCCCTTGCTGGTAGGAAAGGGTTTAACCAGACAGCAAACCCCTGACACAGCGGTCGGGCGCGGCCCAGAGGGGGACCGATTGAGAAAGCACCGTTTCCGCTAAACCGCTTTGCCGCTAGTCCTTTGCCCGCCTACGCGAGCCGCCCTCTCCGGGCCTGTGCCGCCGCCGGAGTCGGGGCGCAGCTGGCCCTTTAAGGACGGAGAGGTGCGCTGTCTCTTTAAGGCAAGACCTGGTGGTTTCTGTTTTCTGAAGGAAGTGACGGGGGGGTGGGATTGAATGAAAAGTGCAAAACAGAGTCTCGGAGAGTCAGAGTTGGGGACCCGTGAGGCAAGGGGGCCCCCGGGAACGCCGTCTACTCCGGACCGCCGGGGGCGCAGCTGAGCGCAGCCCACGTGCGTCCGCGCCACGTCGCGGGGAGACCCCGAGGCCGAACTCCAGGGAAGCGATCCCAGGAGCCCCGAACTAGCCACCAACTCCGGGCGAAGTTTGGCAGCACCTCTCTCGGTTCCCTCTCAGCGCGCAGGGGCCGCGGAAGGCGGCGGCGGCGGCCCCCCGTGATGCGCCCTCCCGGACGCCTCGGGGTCCCCTCGGCGTCCCCGGCGCTGCTGCTGCTGCTGCCACTGCTCGTGCTGCTGCTTGGGGCGCCGCGCGGCGTGGGCGCAGGGACTGGGGTGGGCGCGCCGGCCGAGCTGCGGGTCCGCGTGCGGCTGCCCGACGGCCAGGTGACGGAGGAGAGCCTCCAGGCGGACAGCGACGCCGACAGCATTGGCCTGGAGCTGCGCAAGCCCGACGGTACCCTGGTTTCCTTCACTGCCGACTTCAAGAAGGTGAGGCACCCCTCTTCGCCTCCCGCCCGGGGGTTCACAGTAACGGTAAAACCTCATAAGGAGGACACTACAGCAAGGAAAGAAGCACGACTAGCCCATGCTCACGCACAAGAGCTTCTCTCTTTTTGCCCTTATTCCCCTGCACTCTGATCACCCCCTTCTTGTTCTCCCACTAAGCCCTCACCCACCACCACTTCATCTTCCTGCGCAACATCACACCTTTGCCCTGGGTGCCCCCAGGTCAAAAGCTCTTGCTCATTCTCGGACTCCTTCCTGGCCCCACTTCTTTATCTAGCTCTCCCTGAGCCTTCCAGGTGATGAACGGCCTTTAAAAACGTGCCCTGAAGGGAGGGGTGGGTGTGGATCCAGGCCTCAAAACCTAAGGGCCCAGAGTTTCTGCTGCTTCTTCTGTGTGTGTGATCCTTGCCAAGTCCCTTTCCTTCTCTCAGCTTTGTTCACGACCTCTGTCACACATCAGTGAGGTGGCACCCTGGCATCCCTGCCTATGATTCTGATTCACTTTCCTGACTGGGGAAGTGGGATTTCTGAGAACGTTAACTGCCTTTTTTCCCTTTGGTCTGAGATTGGGAATCTTGCAGAAGAACTTGGGAAGATTCTCTGGGAACAAAGTCCTGGCAATCTATTTCATAAAAAAATTGATTACTGAAAATCTTATGGAGCTCATTTCTATTCTGATACGGTGTGTTTACATGAGTCGAATTTGACTCAACACCACCTGGCTTCTTTATACCTCTTGGATTGGGGAGGTGCCATAGATTAGATAGCCTGGCAGCTGGGGAAGCCCAGAGCCTGGGGGTGTTTTCTGGGCCACTATCTCTCTCCTTTAAAAGACTGGAAGCTTGAAAAGAGGAACAGGGTTTGGGAAGTCAGCTAGGGATCCAGTAGCATTGCCATCTATAATGGATAGAGTAGATCCAGTGGGCATGGGGGTAGAGTGTGTGACTTGACAGCTTATATGTCCTATGACTGCTGAGTTGTCACTGCCATGGAAGAAGGAGGAATAGGGAGGAATGTTGGATCACAGATGGAAAGATTAGTGGCCTTTCCTCAATCAACAGGACAATCTAGGTTCTCAGATTTAGGTAAGAGCTGAAGAGCAGTGGTGTCTCTCTGGAGACTAAGGTGCATCTGATACAGGCCATGGTCTTCGCAATCACCTGTTATGCATCAGAGAGTTGGACAATGACCAAGGAGGATAGAAGGAGAACTGATGCCTTTGAGCTGTGGTGCTGGAGAAGAGTACTGAGAATACCATGGACTGCTAGGAAAACAAACAGATTTGTCCTGGAGAGGGTTAAACCGGGTGGCTCCTTGGAGGCAAGGATTCTGAGGCTCCGTCTAACTTACTTTGGACATGTTGTGAGGAGAGACCGGTCCTTGGAGAGGGACATCATGCTTGGGAGGGTGGAGGGACGGCGCAGGAGAGGAAGGCCCTCTATGAGGTGGATTGATTCAGTGACTGGGATAATTGGGATGGGAGTGTCAGAGACAGTGCGATTGGCACAGGACAGAGCGGAGTTTAGGGCTGTTGTACATAGGGTCGCTATGAGTCACAGGCGACTCGACGGCACATAACAACAACAATGAGCTTATATGTAGGAAGAGGGACGCTTACTGGGCCGGAAGATCCCCCTTTTCTTCCCTCTAAACTTCAGGGAGATTTTTGTCAGTTGTGTTTCTTCCCTAGAAAAATCCAAATTAGAGACGGGGTCCCTCAAGAGACAGTGATTTAATGATCCCGTCTATATTCCAGTCAAACCTTTGTCCTTGAGAGTGTACTTCAGGCCAGTCCCCCCTACCCTCCTGTCCATTAACAATTCTCCCACAACCCCACTGGAATCCTGAAGAGGAACTTTCAGGGTACAGAGTGGTGGTGGTGGTTGGGTGCCATTACGTTGACAATGACTCATAGTGACCCAGTGGACAACAGAAAGGAACCTTACCCTATCCTATGTAAAAGGTAGGGCTGAGCTTTTATAGCCTCTGGCTCCAGCGAGGAGTTCTTTATTGCTGTGGCCTTAAGGGAGAGGAGAGGGAGCGCCCGGCAGGAGGGGATTGGGGTTAGGGTTGAGGGTGTGGTGGAGGGCTGCTACCCAGTTAGAAAGGCAGTTTGGAGCTGACTGCACGAGGCCTGTTTGAGCCCCTGCAAGTGATTCAGACCTCCAGCTTTCCGAAGGCTGCTTTTCAAGTTAGCCTTTGACCCAGAACCTGGAATTGCACGCTTTTTCTCTGGCATCTCCAGCTTCCTCAGCAAGCGAGGTGCATTAGGAGTGGAAGGTGCAGGAAGGGAGCCAGCTCTCTAACCCCTGCCCCGCAACTCCAGTTTTCTCTGTTCCCCTTGGTAGTGAAGTTGGGGATTACTGGCCTGTGCCACCTCCTCCCCAACACCATCTACTGCCCTGATCCTAGCAGCCTGACTTGCCTCTTTGCAGGCCTGGCCACCGCTCATTGGGTCTGCAGGGTCTCCTGCCTCATCATTGTTGGCAGTTTTATGTAGAAGTCGTGGTTTTTTTCCCTGTAAAAGGGGTGGGGGGAGAGACAGAGAAGACCTAAATGTTGTGTTTGGTTTCACTTACTGAACCCATTTGTGGTGGTTTAGGAAAAATCCCTAGTCCGTTTAAAAATAATGTTTCAACCTTTGGGGAGACACAGTTCAGGGCATGATACTAGATGTCACTGTGTGACTACATGTTCGCTGGTTAACCCTGGGCAGACTGTTTGATCCCTCCAAGCTTACTTCATCTGCAAAATGGAAACACTAAATAGGGTAATTCATGTTGTTGTAAGAACTAAACAGGAGAAGGCCTACAGCACTTAACGTATGTCAGATACTGTGTTAAATGCTCAGAAAGACAGGTCATTGGCTCCTCTCCTGGTGGCTCACTACTCCCAGAGGTGGAATGCTCGTCTCAGAGTCACGCCGAAGAGTGAGCCAGCTGGAACCAGGAGCCTCTCGCTGTAACCTTGAAGCTCCAGAATTGTTGGCCAGCCCCTCAGTGCTGGGAAGAGTCATCCTTCTGATAGTCTGCCCAGGCAGGACTGAGTTCCCTCGTGTTGGAAGGGTGTCACCATTTGATGTCATTAGGTCACAGCAGGTCTGCTCTGTAACATGAGGAGTTGCCCTGAGTCAGAATTGACTTGATGGCAGTGCGTTTGGTGGGGATGGAATGAGGCCCTCTAGCTGGCTGCCTCATGACCCAGCCTCCTTCTCTACCCCATTCCTCCCTCCCAGTTTGCACAGGCCAGGCTTCTAACATGCTGTAACTGCCTACCCTGCCATGCTGGTCCTGAAGCCACTTGGGCCTTAACTGGCATCCGTAGGACACCTAGCCTGCAGCCCAGGTGAGGGTTCCATACTCCACGAGTTTGCACAGGCTCACCGCCAGGTGATCTTAGTGCATTACTGGAAGTTCTGCTGATGATGATCCAGGAGGTCAAGTGTGGTAGAAATGGCCAAACACAGTGGCTCCCCAGCTTTGCTATACTTGACAGTCACCTAGAAGCTCTGACAAGTCCTGATGTCTGGGGTGCCCTCCACACCACTTACATCAGAGGGATGCAGATGGGAGCCAAGCATCAGGATTTTTAAAGATTCACTGGTGATTCCAGTGTGCAGTTTGGCAACAGTAGGCATTGGCACTTCAGGGAAGGTGAGAGGTCTGGAGGATGGACCAGGTAAGGCAGTTAAATGAGGACAGAGTCCAGATTCCTTCACATATTTGAAAGCTGACATTCTCCCCACAGTAACTCTCATGTGTTTTAAGTGTGTGTATATACACTAAGCCGAATTCTGCATCCCCTCACTATAGGAACTCAGAATACACACCCGATAGGCCATACTCTTCTTTATAATCCAGTCTCTGTGTAATTATACCCATATGTGCATAATCACTGGGTGTTTCAAATAACAGAAATGTCACTATCCCCAGCCTCTAACCTGGCTTTGGTCTGATGGTGCTTTTGCTCTCCCCACCCCCACCCCAAGCTGGTATCCCTGTCCAAGTTCTCTTTCCTTCTGACCCCTAATCGTTGTGTCCGAAACTGGGATGGGGATGAGTCATGTTCCAAGCAGCCTGATGCAGAGCTGGCTGAATAGGGAGGACAGGACTGGGGCTATAAGGAAGGTCATGTGTCAGGGTTGGTAAGTGGGCTGGGAGGGGATAAAAGGAGACATGGACTCCAAGGGAAGGGATGGAGGGGCTGTAGGCTGGAGCCCGGGAGATAAAACCGAGATTAGAGGAGCCACATGATAGTGTAATTCAGGTCAGGGTCGCCCAGAAGAGATGAGGACTCAAGGAGATTGGAAACTTGAGCTGTGCCTGCAAACATTGGTGGGTGAATAAGATCCAGAGGGGGGTGGAAACCAGCTCAAAAGGTACCAGTGTCCTATCTGGGATGGGCTTTTAGATTTAGGCGTGCACAAAGGAAACAGTTGGGAGATAAGAGTTAATGAAGTTGAAGGCATGTACAGTGGGCCATGTTGCTGTATGAGTTTGTATATTCCAAGGACTTACATCTCAGGGATGTTAGCTAGAGGTTTTTAGGGTCCAGTGTGTCCTAGCCTGTCTGTTTTAGGTCCCTTACCATTTGGTGGGAACTCTGGTGTTTTAGTGGTAAGGAGTTGCACTGGCAAAACAAAGGCACACAGTTCAAATCTACCAGCTGCTCAATGGAAGAAAGCTGAGCAGTCTCCTCCATATGATTGACAGCCTCTGAAAAGCTGCCGGAGGGTCCGCTGTGAATTGGTTCCTGCTCGATGGTACACAACTTGAACAACCACTTGACATGGTGACTTGTGCTGGATGGAATAATTTCTGGGGGAAAGAGACAACAGAAGTGTTTCCAAGGGGCTCAGACCTTATGGGAAGTTAGTTTCCTCAGGGAATCCAAGGACAGTGTCAGGTAGAATGATCGCATCTATGGGTCCTGAGGGTCTGACTCCAGGCCTTCTGTTCCAACTGAGAGATCCAGAGGGCCTG